GTTCTTTAATACTTGAATTATAGTCATTAAACCATCAAAACTATCTACGGGCAGTTTTGAATCTGTCGCGAAGTGATGAAATTGACCATGGCAACGGCATTGCCTGCGGCTAATTATAGCCTACCGGAGACAAATTCTTGATTTCTGATATTTGTACGTTTATCGACCGAATATTGAATATCTAACCCAAGCACCATTTATAACTAGGTATTACCTAAATTTGAGCAAAATATGAAAGAAATCTATTTTTTATCTATTGCCACTGTTTGCTCGATTTTTACAGACAGTCGCTCTTAAGAAGGTAACATGAAGTATATCAATAATGTACCAGAAGGCGTGTGGGCTCAGTACATTGAAATTGGATATTTGTAATTTGTCATTTTGTTGAATAAATATGAAATTTAATGATTTCTTGGAAGATTTGCACGTGTGTTTGTTTTATCTTTAGCTGCTTACTTCTGCGATGTAGAATCTTTTAAAAGAATTGAAGTAACTCAGCAGGAATACGTCTACCAAATGCTATCTAATCCGGGCAGAAAATGCACGTCTCGAAGTGATTTTCGCAATCAACTGTAAGCCAACATAATTTGCCGAATCTGTTGACATGGCCACATTTGAATTGTGATTGCTTTGAGCTTCCTGTCTGAGAGCTGTAGTCAACTAGAACTGTTGGAGTGTTGGCATTATGAATGGGGTTACGAATGCTCGTTCACGTCCGTCGATAAATCAAAGACGAAGGAAGAATAATCGGAATAATGCACAAAAAAACGAAGGACAGAATTCTGAAAAGACAAACGATGAGGGACAGAAGAAACAAACTGATAGTAAAAAGCAAGGCCAGCAGTTCAGTGGAAAAAAACAAGAGAAGGAAAAGCGTGTGAAATTGGTACAGGTAAGTACACTTTTGGGGAAGATATCTAGGATTTTGGGGATCTCACTTGATATACCTGATAATTTGTAGTCATTGTGGAATTTTTATACATTTATTGGCCCTATAAACCAGGAGCAGTTGGAATCGAACCTGCAGCCCTTGATTCCGGTGCAGTGCTCTAACCAACTGAGCTACAGAGAGAGAGAGTTGTCGAGCTCTAACCACCAGTTCATGAATAAATATTAGAGAGTTTAAGTTCAACTTCCGATACCAATACTGATACTAACAACATGTCATGCGCATGCTCTCTGCTCGCAAGAAGCACAACGACATTAGTGTATTGGAAGTCACCACTACCACAGTCGGCTTTGTATTGGAAGTCGGCTTTGTATTGGAAGTCGGCTTTGTATTGGAAGTCGGCTTTGTATTGGAAGTCGGCTTTGTATTGGAAGTCGGCTTTGTATTGGAAGTCGGCTTTGTATTGGAAGTCGGCTTTGTATTGGAAGTCGGCTTTTTATTGGAAGTTGGCTTTGTATTGGAAGTCGGCTTTGTATTGGAAGTCGGCTTCTATGGGAAGTCGGGGGAATTGTAAGATAAACTCGCATAAATCGGATATTTCATAATTTTTGCGATTTTTAAACATGTAAGCTATTTGTTTATTAGCATCGCTTGAGTCATGTTTTAGTCAGAATTTTAGCTCAGCTTCCGTTTAGTTTACCGCACATTTTCGGTGACGATTAATGTGTTCTATACTTTATCTTTTGTGATAACTTAACGCTTTAAAATTCCCAGTACCAAAATGAGAAAGGAAGTGAAAACATCGGTATCGGTATCGGTATTGCAAGTCGAACTTAAACTCTCTATTTTAAATGTGATGCCATGCTCGATGTATGGGTAATGCACCTATAATTTGTTTCTACCTCCCCCTTGAGGGTGGGCAACCCTGGGGGATTTGACAACAAATTCTCACCCTGGAGACAGGCTTTTGACAACAAATTGCGGCCTGAGAGATGGGCAATTGACAAACTCATGTCAGGGTTTTCATTAATTTTCTGTACAACCGGCTAATTGTAAATGATAGGCGTCCGAGCACCGAAGGTGCGAGATTTCTAGGGAGGTCCGGGGGCATGCCCCCGGAAAATTTTGAAATCTAAAGTCTCTGAAATGCCATTTCCTGCGTTCTGGCGAAAATTCTCGTAGAATTGCAATGGTCAGAAAACAAACTTTTTTGTCTAAAAAGTTACAGTTTCTTGTTTAGAAATTAGCAGGTTTCTACATGAAGAACAAAAGTAGAGATTTTCTGAGGGTGCGAAAGGCTATTTTCGGTAGAAACGCTGCTTGCAAATACAATGGATAAAGATGCAACATTGTAGATTTCATCTTATGTAATGATAGAAAAAAAAAAAATTTGATGAAAAGTGTTTAATGTAAATTTAACTTTTGACAATGTTTATAATTCTTTTCTGAACTAAAATTTGAATTAATCTGAATAACAAGTTAATATGAATCCGAACTATCGTAATCACTATCAGTACTGTCCTCGACGTCACTGTCGGTGTCGTATTCTTCCAGATCTACTGCTGGTAATTTAAATAAGTTGGCAGCAGCATCCACCTCTT